GCCAAGCTCACAACTACTGAAAGATGGTAGCAAGCGTGGGCCCTGAACAGGGACTTCTTGTAATCTATGCGGCGCAATCTAGCTAGAGCACCCCATGTGGCACAATCTAGGTGGTGCAAGTGCAATCCATGTCATGTGGCGCAAACTATACGTGGTGCAATGGTGCAAACCGATGCGAAACGAAGCAATGCCAGGCAATGCAAGGCAAGGCGATGAAAGCCATACGCAGCAATCCACAGCCATGCAACGCAGTGCGAAGCAATGTAGAAAAATGGAAAACACTGCGATGCAAAGCGGTGCCAAGCAGTGCAGAGCAACACGGCGACGGGCGGCGACGAACCGGCCGGCGGCGACAGGTAGCGACGGGCAGCCACAAGCCCGCCAGACCGACACCGGGGCCCAGAAGTGAAAAACCCGAAGTGCAAGCACTGCTTGGGGAACGGCGAGCAGTGCAGGAGGAGGCGAGACAAAGAGGAGACCGTGGCTGGAGCGAGAAAAACCGCCCAAAAACATACAATTTTGGAACTCCGCGCAGATTTCTTGGACCGGCGCGGAGCGCGCCAGGTTCGGCGCCAGAGGCGCCGCTGGGGGACTCAGCGCCGACACGAGAAATCTGCCCGGAGCTCCGGAAGTTTCTGTCCATGCAGCTTTCTCTCCTTCGAATGGTGGCACTGGCACGCCCGACGCAAGAGCTAAGCTAGGAGCCTTTCCAGAGTGGCCAACTGCAGCGCGCTGGTGCGCAGGGGCTGCCAGATGTCAGGCCGAGGCTTAGTCAAGTGAGGGTCACCCGGGAAACGCCAGGAGATCGGCCTCCTTCCCATTTTCCTTCAGATCATCCTCTCCTCCGCCTCCTCCTCCTCCTTCTCCTCCTACTTCATACTACCATCAACACTACCACCACCACTACAGCTACTACCACCCTGATCCACTTCCCCCCACCCTTCATCCCTCCCCGATTCTCGCCCTTCTATTGCCCCATCTTGAATGATTCTCCTCTCCGTCTCCTCGACCACTCCTCCTCATCCTTCCGGGAAGGAGGGGGAAAAAAGGAGGAGGAAGAAGAGGAGATGGAAACGGAGGAGCAGGACGACTAACGAGGGACGAGGAGGAAGAAACGGAAGGCGGAAAGGAGCAAAACACGCGGGGAGGCGCTCGAAGGAGTTCCCCCCTCCCCCCCCCTCCCCCATCCCCCCCTCCTCAATCTCCCCCCACCCCACCTCCTCCTCGATCGCTTCTGCCCGATTCCTTCTCCCCCTCCTCGATGTCTTCTCCCCCGCCTCGATCCCTCTTCCCACTCTTCGATCCCTGAGATCCGACGCCACGAAGAGACTACAACTTCGTACAGAACCCTGGACCTCATCTTCCTGCTGAATTTCCAAGCCGGATCGATATGTGAAGGTCCCGGTGCTGGAAACAAAGCAAAGTCGCCCGTTGCGAAGAGAATGCGAGGCCAGGTTCTTGAGGAGATCTCCTCCCCTCCTCCTCCTCCTCCTCCTCCTCCTTCTCCTCCTCCTCCTCCTCCTGCTCCTGCTCCTCTTTCTCCTCCTCCTCCTCCTGCTCCTCCTTGTCCTACTCCTCCTCCTCCTCCTCCTCCTCCTCCTCCTCGTCATCCTCATCCTCCTCCCCTTCCTCTCTCTTCCTCCTCTCCTCCTCCTCCCCCTCCTCCTCCTCCTCCTCCTCCTCCTCGCCTCCTCCTCCTCCGACTCCTCCTCCTCTCCCTCATAATCATCATCCCCCTCCTCCCCCCTCTTCCTCGTCCTCCTTTCTTTTACCTCCTCCTCCTCCTCCTCCTCCTCCTCCTCCTCCACCTTGATGTTCCTTTTCCTACACTTCCTCTCCTCCTCCTCCTCCTCCTCCCACTTCCTCCTCCTCCTCCTCCTCCTCCTCCTCCTCCTCCTCCTCCTCCTCCTCCTCCTCCTCCCCCTCCTCCCTCCTCCCCTCCCCACCTCCTCCTCCTCCTCCTCCTCCTCATCCTCCTCCTCCGCCTCCTCCTCCTCCTCCTCCTCTCCCCTCCTCCTCCTCTCCCCCATCTTCTCCACCTCCCCATTATTTTACCTCCTCCTCCTCCTCCTCCTCTTCCTCCTCCTCCTCCTCCTTCTCCTCCCCTCCTCCTCCTCCTCCTCCTCCACCTTGATGTTCCTTTACTACACTTCGTCTTCCTCCTCCTCCTCCTCCTCCTCCTTCTCCTCCTCCTCATCGTCCTTCTCGTCCTCCTCGTCCTCCTCCTTCTCCTCCTCCTCCTCCTCCTCCTCCTCCTCCTCATGATCATCATCATCCTCGTCCTCCTCGTCCTCCTCCTCCTCCTCCTCCTCGTCCTCCTCGTCCTCGTCCTCCTCCTCCTCCTCCTCCTCCTCCTCCTCCTCCTCCTCCTCCTCCGCCTCGATGTCTACTCCCCCCTCCCCCCACCTGCTGGGGGTCGGTGTCGGTGGCTGGCGCTGGGGCAGGAGGAAGGGCCGAGGCGCCGCCCGGGGACCTGGACCGCCCCGCCCAGCGTGTACACGCAGTTCACCACGGAGCCGACGTTCTTCTCCTCGTACAGGTCCTGGAGATCCAAGGACAGCACAGCCCACCTCCACCCCCAGCCGCCGAAGAGAGCCGAAGATGCCTCCGAGAAGGCCCAACAGTGCTGCATTACGCCCAAGATGGCCTCAACACGGCCCAAGAGAACCCAAAAACGTCCCAAGAGTGTTCCAAGAGGCGTCCCAAGAGTGCCCCAAGAGGCACACGTCATTGATTTCCATGTCATTTTTGAAAGGTTTTGGCCTTTACGCCTTTTCGGCCTCCCGACGCTCCAAAACGGCCCACGAGACCCCCAAGATCGCCCCAAGGAGGCTCCAGAGGCTCCAAAGAGGGCCCCAAGACGGCCGCTCAAGAGGGCCCCAAGACGTCCCAAGAGGCGCCCAAGACGGCCCAAGAGGGCCCAAAGACGGTCCCAAGAGGAGGCCCAGATGGGGAGCCCGAACGGACATTTCGAGCCCTCGGGCCCGAGGGCCCCAAGGAGGCCCCAAGGAGGCCCCCAAGAGGCCCCCAAGGGGCCCCAAAACTTCTCCCAAGAGGCCGCCGAGAGCGCCCCGAAGAAGCATCCCTGAGAACTGTGACCCACAACCGCACGGTGGCGGGATGGGTCGAAAGCCACTAGACCTGGCCCGGCACAGTAACGGAAAGAGCACTGCAGCAACAGAAATCGAAATTACTCACACCACCGTTCGTACCGGGAGCCTTGGCGTTGAGAGCTGGTTACGTCACCCCTCGCTCTTGGGAGCCTTGGGGTTCAGAGATTGTTGCGTTGCCGCCCGTTCCTGAGCCGTGGCTGGGCCTTGGTGTCAGGAACTTGTTACGTCACCGCTCTCTGCTGGGAGCCTTGGTTTTATCAGCTTGTTTACGTCACCGTTCGCTCTTGGGAGCCTTGGTGTGAAGAGCTTTTTGCATTACCGATCGCTCTCGGCGTCTCTGGGCCTTCGTGGGAGTCCTATTGGGGCCCTTTTCGGGCCCTCCTGGTGGCCTCTTGGGGGCCTTATGGGGCTTCTTGGGGGTCTGTGGGGGCCTCCCGGGAGCGTCTTTGGGCGAAACCCTAGACTTTCGGGTTCGTGGTCCCCCTCTTGGGGCCGTCTTGGGGCCCTCTTGGGCGCCTCTTGGGCCGTCTGGGGGCCCTCTTGGGCCGTTTTGGGGGCCTCTTGGGAGCCTCTTGGGCCGCCTTGGGGCGGTCTTGGGGGCCTCTTGGGCCGTCGTCAACGCCGTGAACGCCGAAAAGCCGTGTATGCTAAACATGTACGCTTCCCAAAGAAAGTGTATGATTTTGGCCTCCTGTTGGCCTTGTGGGGCGCCTCTTGGGGGCCTCTTGGGGACTGTTAGGGGGCTGTGGGGGCCTCCCGGGAGCGTCTTGGGGCGATAGGCTAGACTTTTCGCTTCGTGGTCCCCCTCTCGGGGCCTTCTTGGGGCCCTCTTGGGCCGTCTTGGGCGCCTCTTGGGCCGTCTGGGGGCCCTCTTGGGCCGTTTTAGGGGCCTCTTGGGAGCCTCTTGGGCCGTCTTGGGGCGGTCTTGGGGGCCTCGTGGGCCGTCGTCAACGCCGTGAAAGGCGAAAAGCCGTAGATGCTACAAATCTACGTTTTCCTATGGAGAATCTATGATTTTGGTCTCTTGGGGCCCTCTTGGGACGCCCCTTGGGCGCCTCTTGGGGCGTCTTGGGGGCCTCTTGGGACGTCTTGGGGCTGTCTTGGGCGGTCTTGGGCTCTTCTGGGACGGAAAAGAAGAGAAATCCGAACAACATGCAAAAATCCAAAAGAAAACCCCAAAACGGCCATTAACACTCATCCGGGCGCGGTACGCCCCCCCCTGGAATCCCCCCTTAAGGGGCTTCGCCCAAAACACAACGTCATCGCTCGTACCTCGCTCCTTCCGTTACCTGGCCCGGCACAGAAACGGAAAGAGCGCTTCAGAAACAGAAACCGAAATTACTCACACCACCGTGCGTGCTGGGAGCCTTTGCGGGAGCCTTGGTGTTCAGAGACTGTTGCGTTGCCGCCCGTTCCTGAGCCTTGGCTGGGCCTTGGTGTCAGGAACTTGTTACGTCACCGCTCCCTGTTGGGAGCCTTGGTCTGATCAGCTTGTTTACGTCACCGTTCGCTCTGGGGAGCCTTGGTGTGAAGAGCTTTTGCGTTACCGATCGCTCTTTTTTGGGCTTCTCTGGGCCTTCTTGGGAGTCCTATTGCGGCCCTCTTCGAGCCCCCTTGGGGGCCTCTTGGGGGCCTCTTGGGGCTTCTTGGGGGGCTCTTGGGGCCTCCTGGGAGCTTCTTGGGGCGATAAGCTAGACTTTCGGGTTCGTGGCTCCCTCTTGGGGCCGTCTTGGGGCCCTCTTGGGCCGTCTTGGGCGCCTCTTGGGCCGTCTGGGGGCCCTCTTAGGTCGTTTTGGGGGCCTCTTGGGAGCCTCTTGGGCCGTCTGGGGGCGGTCTGTGGGGCCTCTTGGACCGTCTTCGACGCCGTGAACGCCGACAAGCCGTGCATGGTAAAAATGTACCTGTTCCGATCGGGAATTCATAATTTTGGCCTCCTGGTGGCCTCTTGGGACGCCTCTTGGGGGCCTCTTGGGGCTTCTTGGGGGGCTCTTGGGGCCTCCTGGGAGCGTCTTGGGCGATAGGCTAGACTTTTCAGTTCGTGGTCCCTCTTTTGGGGCCGTCTTGGGACCCTCTTGGGCAGTCTTGGGCGCCTCTTGGACCCGGACCGTCTTGGGGCCCTCTTGGGCCGTTTTGGGGGCCTCTTGGGAGCCTCTTGGGCCGTCTTGGGGCGGCCTTGGGGGCCTCTTGGGCCGTCGTCAACGCCGTGAAAGCCGAAAAGCCGTACATGATGAAAACGTAAATTTCCAATAGAAAATCAATGATTTGCTCCTCGTGGGGCCCTCTTGGGACGCCCCTTGGGCGCCTCTCGGGGGCCTCTTGGGGGCCTCTTGGGCCGTCTTGGGCGGTCTTGGGCTCTCTTGGAGCGCTCTTGGGCCGTCTTGGGGGGGAACCCGAAAAACATGCAATAACCCAAAGGAAAACCCCCCAAACAGCCATTAGAGCCCATTCCCCCCCCTTCGCCCCCCCCTGGACCCTCCCCCTTAAGGGGCCTCGCCCAACGCACAACGTGAAGGCTCGTACCTCGCTCTTTCCGTTACCTGGGGCCGGCATGGAAACGGAAAGAGCGCTTCAGCAACCTGCCCGAAGTTGCTCACGGCACCCTTCGCTCTTGGGAGCCTGGTGTTAAGAACTAGTTACGTCAACGCTCTCTGTTGGGAGCCCTGGTGTTCAGCGACTTTTACGTTGCCGCCCGTGTTTGGGCCTTGGTGTCAAGAGTTTGTTGCGTCACCGCTCATTCTTGGGAGCCTTGCTGGTAAACGAGTGTTACGTCGCCGCTCTCTGTTGGGAGCGTTGCTGGGACGAGCTTGCTGCGGAACCGCTCTCTGTTCAGAGTCCTCATGCCCAGAGATGCTTACGTTGCCGCTCGCTCTTGGGTCGGTGGAAAGAGCTTGTTGCGTCACCGCTCGCTCTTTGGAGCCTTGCTGGCAAGCGCGTGCTACGTCACCGCTCTCAGTTGGGAGCATGATTCCTCCTCCTCCTCCTTCTCCACCACCACATATTATTGTTAGCAGTCGTATCATTACTACTCTTATTATTGTTACTATCATATTCCTCCTCCTCCTTCTCCTCCTCTGCCTCCTCCACCTCCCTCCAACTCCTCCTCCTCCTCACTCCAACTCCTCCTCCTCCTCCTCCTCTTCCTCCTCCTCCTCCTCCTCTTCCTCCTCCTCCTCCTCCTCCCTCCTTCCCCTCCCTCTCCTCCTCCTCCTCCTGCTCCTCCTCCTCCTCCTTCCTCCTCCCTCTCCTCCTCCTCCTCCTCCTCCTCCTCCTCCTCCCTCCTCCTCCTCCTCCTCCTCTTATTATTGTTGATCTATGTGTTGCTATTAGTTTTATGATTGTCCTTCTCATCCTCCTTCTCCTCCTCTGCCTCCTCCTCTCCTCCTCCTCTCCTCCTCCTCCTTCTCCTCCCTCATTATTCTCCTCCTCCTCCCTCCCTCCATCCATCATCATCATCATCATCATCATCATCATAATCCTCCCTCTCCTCCTCCTCCTCGTATTAATGTTGTTGATTGAATTAATGTTATGAGTGATATGATTGTCCTCCCCCTCCTCCTCCTTCTCCTCCTCTGCCGCCTCCTCCTCCTCCGTTCTTATTATCCTCCTCCTGCTCCTCCTCCTGCTTCTCCTCCTCCCCCTGGCTCCTCCTCCTTCTCCTCCTCCTGTTCCTCCTCCTCCTCCTCCTCCTCCTCCTCCCTGTCCTCCCTCCTCCTCCTCCTCTTCCTCCTCCTCCGCCTTGTCATCGTATTATTATCATTCGTATCACTAGTATTAGTATTAGTAGTATTATTCGTAATGCTATTATTGCTAGTGTTGTCAGTATTCGTCATAGTATGTGATTCGTCTTATCCTTATTCGTATTGCTCCTCGTCGTAATCCTCTTACGCTCATGATTAAGATTCTTCTTACTCGTACTATTTTTCATATTCGTATTATTATGCATATGGTTTATCTTCTCACTCCTCCTCCTCTTCCTCCTCTTCCTCCGCCTCCTCCTCCTCCTCATCCATCGTCCTCGTCCTTTTCCTCCACCTCCTCGTTCGCCTCCTCTTTCTCCTCCTCCTCCTCCTCCCTCTCCCTCCTCCTCGTCCTCCTCCCCTCTCCTCCTCCTCCTCCTCCTCTCCCTCTCCTCCTCCTCCTCCTCCTCCTCCTCCTCCTCCTCCTCCTCCTCTTCCTACTCCTCCTCCTCCTCCTCCTCTTCGACCTCCTCCTCCTCCTCCTCCTCCTCCTCCTCCTCCTCCTCCTCCTCCTCCTGGGGCCCGCTTGGGGTCCTCTTGGGGCCGTCTGGGGGCCCTCTTGGAACGTCTTGGGGCCCTCTTGGGCCGTCTGGATGCCCTCCTGACTGTTTTCGGCCCCTTTGGGGGGCCTCCGGGGCTGTCTTGGGAAGAGCTTTGGGGCCTCTTGGGCAGTCTTGGGCCCGTCTGGGGGCCATCTTGGACCGTTTTGGGCCCCTTTGGGGCGCCTCTGGGGCCGTCTTGGGACGATCTTTGGAGCCTCTTGAGCCGTCTGGGTCCCTTCTGGGACGGAAAAGGGAAAAACCCGAAAAGCCTGTCAAAAACCTTAGGTCAATCAATATTTGTGGCCTCCTGAGGCCTTCTCGGAAGCCCTCTTGAGGGCCTCTGGAACCGTCTCGAGACTCTCTTGGACCGTCTGGAGGCCATCTGAAGCTCTCTGGCGGCCGTCTTCGGTCCCTCTGAAACCGTTTCGGGGCCCTCTTGGGCCGTCTTGGGGCCCTCTGGCCGGCTCACCCGGAAACATAAGAATAGACATGCCATGTGAGCCGCCCATGAGCCGCTTCAATAGAAACAAAAACTAGGCGCGAAGGCAACTAGACTTTTGTTCCCCCGCTAGTCCCCTTCCCCAGACCCCCTATAAGGGCTTCGCCCCCTGCGAAACGTCTCTCGCTCGTACCTCGCTCTTTCCGTCATCCGCCGCCCCCTGTTGGCTTGCCACAGGGGTGCCCGGCGTGCTAGATCCTTTCGATTTTAATGTTGGTTCTTTTCCAAAAGAGCTCCCCCTAGGGCTTCGGCAGATCCCGCCAGGGTCCCGGGAAGGCCCCGAAACCACCTCAACGACCGCAAAAAATGTTCCATGACGGCTCAAGATGGCCTCTAAGATGGTCACGTTGACCCAAGATGGCTTCCAAGATGGCCCAAGATGGCCTCCAAGTCGCCAAAGATGGTCCAAGATGGCTTCCAAGACGGCCCGAGAGAGTCCAAGATGCCTTCAAGTTCGTCCAAGAAGCCTCCAAGACGGCCCAAGTTGGCTCCAAGGTGGCCTAAGACTGGCCAAGAGGCCCCCAAGAGGCCTCCAAGACGTCCTCCAGGAAGGCCCGAAAGGGCAACAATCATTGATTTCCCTTGGGTTTGGGAGGATTGTGGCATTTTCTTTTCATCAGCTCTCCGACGGCCCACGACGGCCCAAGAGGTCCCAAACATCGTCCCAAGAACGCCCAAGAGGCCTCCAAGCTGGCCCCATGACAGCCCAAGAGGCCCCCAAGAGGGCCCCAAGAAGAGCCCAGGACGGCCCAAGATGGACAGGAAAACGCCGAAGATGGCCTCCAAGACAGCCAAGGTGGTCTCCAAGATGCCTCCAAGACGGCCGAGGTCTCCAAGACAGCGAAGATGGCCCCAAGATGCACCCAAAACGGCCCCAGATGGCCTGAAGATGACCGTAGACTGCCCAAAAGGCCCGCCATAAGCCTCCAAGACGGCCCAAAACCCCTCCAAGACGTCCTCCCGGAGGCCCGACAGCTCGGAAACCACCTGGTCCGATAGCTCGCCCGACTCCGTGTTCCCCGAAGGCTTTCGAAACCCACTCGGGGCACGCGTGGCCCGATAGCTTGGCCAAGCTCAAACCCAACTTTCGGCCACGCAGGCGCTTCCAAAAATGCAGGGGGCGGCGGTGATTCGCCGTAGGCGGCTTCGATTCGCCGTCCCCTGTTGATTTACCACAGGGGTGCCTGTCGCGCTAGACTTCTTACGAATTGATTTTCTGTTCCAAAAAAATCCCCCTGAGGCGTCGGCCCGTCACGCCGGCCACCCGAAAGACCCCAAACGAGCACAACTTCTTCAAACAAGCCCCCCAAGATGGCTCAAGATGGTTCCTAAGATGGTCACAACGGCCTCCAAGATGCCCAAGATGGCCTCCAAGACGGCCCTGGAGCACCCCAAAAGGGCCCCACGTCGGCTAAGAGAGGCCACCCAAACAGCTCCCGACGGCGTCAGACGGGCCAGGAGGTCACCAAGACGGCCCAAGATGACTCCAAGATGGCCCAAGACTGCGCAAGGGGACCCAAGAGATCTCCACGAAGGTCCAAGTGACCTCCACTAGGGCCTCCAGGAAGGCCTCCAGGAAGGCAAAGAGGCCGTATCATTGATTTTCAATAGGTGTTTGAAGGACTTGGGCTTTTGCTTCTTTTCGGCCTTCCGACGGCCCGAGACGGCCCAACAGCCCCCAGAGAGCGCCCCAAGATCGCCCAAGAGGCCGCCAAGATGCCCCCAGGACGGCCGAATAGGCCCCCAGGAAGACGGCACAAGAGGCCTCCAAGACGCCCAAGATGGCCTCCAAGACGGCCCTAGAGCACCCCAAGAGGGCCCCACGCCGGCCCAAAGAAGCCCGCTTCCGCCGGCGTCAGACGGGCCAGGAACGCCTTAAGACGGCAAAAGAAGCCTCCGAGAAGCCCCCCAAAGGCCCCCAAAGGCCCCCAAGAGGCCCAAGGAGGCCCCCAAGATGCCTCCAAGAAGCCCCCAAGAGCTCCCAGGAGGCCCCAAGATTGCCCCCCGAGGCTCCCAAGATGCCCACCCTCCTCCTCCTCCTCCTCCTCCTCCTCCTCCTCCTCCTCCCCCTCCTCCACCTCTTCCTCCTCCTCCTCCTCCTCCTCCTCCTCATCCTCCTCCTCATCCTGATCTTCCCCGCCATCCTCCCCAAAGTGTTCCCCGAAGGGTTTCCACAACGGCTGGGAAAACACATGGTCCGATAGCTTGGCAGAGCTCTTGCCACACCGCTCGGCCACATGGGCGATGCCAAAAGGCAGTGGGAGGCGGTGATTCGCCGTAGGCGTCTTCGGTTTAGTGTAAGCTATGCAGTGCAAGCTACGTGGTGAAAGGATTGTCGTGTTGGCTATGTGGTGCAAGCTAGGTAAGGTAAGCTCAACACGCGGGGCGCCCACGAGCACCGACGAGGCAACACAGGCGGCAACGTGGCGCGACCTTGGCGGACACATCCAGCGCACGGGGCGTCCACGAGCGCCTACGAGGCGGCACGGGCGACAACGCGGCGCAACCTCATGACACACCTAGCGCACGTGGCGCCCACGAGCGCCTGCGAGGCGGCATGGGCGGCAACGTGGCGCGACCTCGGCATACCTCTACCAATCCACCCAGCGCACGGGGCGCAAACGAGCGCCTGCGAGGCGAAACGGGCGGCAATGTGGCGCAACCTCGGCCGACCCACCCAGCGCACGGGGCGTCCACGACCGCCCAAGAGGCGGCACGGGGCGGCAACGCAGAAAGTCCTCGGCTGGGCCCGTCCAATGATTTACGTAACGGAAGAAGGAACGCCCAAGGTGCAAGCACTGGTTGGGGAAATGTCAACCCGTTTCGCTGTCTGCCTTTTTGGTTCCTGCGAGGACGAAGGAATTTAAGGTAGGGGCGAAGAACAGGAGGGAGAAATTCAAGGACCAATGAAAACATCGATGTTCCTGGCCGACCAGACGGGCCCTCTGACCCATTTCCTGACCCGCACCAGGAGAGGCCGACGGCGGGATAGTTCGCAGGCGTCTCTCGGAGGATCGGCCGCGAGGTACACACGCCACAGGCGAGCGAGTCAAATTCGACCGATCGTCGACAACCGCTGGACGACGCCGTGTCCGGCGTGCTGAATACGGCCGACTCGGGCACGCCAAGCTTGCGGGCGGCGTCGGTGAAGAACGAGATGTTCTCCATCTGCTTGAAGGCCATCGAGCTCGTGTTGACCTCCCCTTGTTTTGCTAGGACACGCCGAACTCTACAAACAGAGTCCACTTGAGTCTCCAAGGTACCTGCGGACCGCGAGCCTGGGCCGTGGGCCCGATGTCACAAGCCCTGGGCACATAATAATGGAAGACAGGCTTGTGATTGGAATTGCCATCAGAAGCAGGCCCAGGAACAAGAGAGATCGGCTGCAAGCGCCTAGCCAACGGCCTGCGCTTGCAGGGTCTGTTTTCCTCCCTGAAAGGAGAAGCGGGGAGGAGAGAGCGCAACACCCGAACAAACGATCCACATGTTAGCATGAAAAATGCGGGAATCGAGTCAGGGTCTGTATCAAGCTCGCTCTACGAGCACACGCCATTACGCATGCATCGACACCGCTGTTCAGAGCCCCCCGTTTCTGGCTAAATGCTTTCCCGTGGGGGCGGAGTGCACCGGATCGAAAAAAAACGCAAACCAGATCGAACAAAAGCACACACACAAACGCTGCGCCAGCATGGGTATTACGATCTTCGAACCTGCTACTCGACAAGGCCTGGCGAATCCTGGCTCGAAGCAAGACATGAACTCCCAGAGGGAAGTTTAGCAGGTTGCTGGACGGATGCTCCCCGACCACGAGCCAATCCCTTCTAATGCAGCAGTAATCCTATAGTCTGGGAAACTTCGTGCATGAGTCGTGGATCCCCCTCTCGGCCCGCATTTGCAAATGGTCCCTAACGTAGAACAGCAGAAGCCCAATCCCCCCTCCTCCTGAAGCCTTGCAGACACCTTCAGACACCTCCAAGACTAGCTGAAGGCCCCCACGCCTGAGATCCCCTTTCGAACCCGCTGAACTCCAGCAAACCCGAAGGCACTCCGCTTCCCCACATCCGCCCGCACTCTCATTTCTGCTCCCCGCTCCATCCTCCCCCCTCTTCGTCCTCGTCCTTCTCCTGCTCCTCCTCTTCCCCCTCCTCCTCATGCTATTCCATCCCCCTCCTTCTCCTGGCAGGACATGGTGCTTGGACAAAGCCAACACGGTTTCTGGAAAATCGGTCCAGCAATCCAATCGTTTTGCTCCTGCACTGCTCTCGAGTGGTGCACCCATGGTGGCACCCCAGGCCTCTGCTCCCACCAACGGGGTCAAGGCGCCCCTAAGCCACATCACTTCATGCCAAGCAATCCTCCTCCTTCTCCTCCTCATCCTCCTCCTCCACCTGCTCCTCCTCCTACTTCTCCTCCTCCTCCGAAGGTCGGGAACTTTTGGATAGCGTGTCGTGGCGGCGGCCCCGGCGACACGCTTTGCCTTGCAAGCGGATAATTGGCGTGTCGCTCCGCTCCGAGGGGCGGGAGGCTCGGGAAAGCTTGGGACGTTGACGCCTCGGGGCCGCAAAGTGGATAGCGCGGCGGCGCGACATGCTATCCCAAAGTTCCACCGACCGCACCACCACAGCCACCGCAATCACCGATGACCCTGCTGGCCTTCTTGATCGCCCCCGGGCTGATGGCGTTGACGAGCCCGCACAGGACCCGACCGTCCCGGAGCCACCCAGCGAAGGTCTGGCCCTCTTCGGCCTGGCGGGCGGCCGGGCCCGCCCACGAGCAGATCGACGCCGACAGCGTCGTCGCAGAGGAGCTCAAGGGAGGCTCGGGAAAACTGCTGACTTTGACGCTTGGGGGCGGGGAGGGTTCGCGTGGGTCCCAGGTTGCCATGGCGCTACGGTGCCCATGCATGTCAGTCGGCAAATCCTTCACACGCTTCGTGGCCCCATGGGGAGCTCCACCGAAAGCCCCAGTTCAGTGGGATGGTTCGCATGGCGCCACCGCACCCATTGAGGCACGCACACAACACATGCGTCGTGGCCCTGCAGGGAGATTCACCAGAGGCCCCAGTTGGAGGGTGCGCGTGGCGCCACCGCAACCTTTTAAGCACACGCACACACCTCACACGCGTCGTGGCCACATAGGGAGCTCCGCCGTGGCTCCGCCGCAGACCCAAGTGGAAGGGTTCGCATGGCCCATTTCGGCACATCCTTTTGTGCCCCGTCCTTTTTGCGGCTCGCTGCCTGTGAGGAGAGGGCCGTGTCCGACGGTATTCGAAGTTCGCCCGCACCCTCCAACGTTCCCCCTGCCTTGCAGGACTCACAGCTGCATATGGTTGTGTCCTTCGCCAAGATATGTTTGTTCACAACGTCAACCCCCAAAGATCTGGACCAAATTTGCAGGACCGGTTTGCAACCCTGACTCGTTTTTGACGTTCCCAGGGCCTGGCGAGGGCCCCCCAGAAGGCCGAAAACGGCCAAAATCCTTCCGCCGCGATTTTGGTTCACGACGCGGAGCGGTCTAGGCATGCTGATGCCGTTTGTTGTTCTTCCGGAGTCGAGCACAAGCTAAGCCTGCTGCGCGCCAGGGAGGAGAGCGGCCGACGGTCGCCGAGACATCTCACCCCTGCGCGCAGGGAGTTTGCCTCCCGACTCCAACTGCTCCTCGGCGACCTCCTCCTCCTCCTCCTCCTGCTCCTCTTCCTCCTCCTCCTCCTCCTCCTCCTCCTCCTCCTCCTCCTCCTCCTCCTCCCCCACGCGCCGCAGTCCCCCCAACCCCCTCGCGCCGTGAGGCAAAATCACGGCGGAAGACTTCTGGCCGTTTTCGGCCCCGGGGGCCCTCGCCGGCCAGGACGGCCACAAAACATTGCTCGGGATGAATGGCCAGTCCACGGGAATGGGTCGAGACGTCTGGAAGTCGCCGCTGTGGAAAACGTGGCATCGGGGGTCTGGGCACGGCAGGTTCGTGTCGTGTCGACCCCGGCGTTGCTCTCTAACGCCGCGCGGGGATCCTTCGGCCTTAAGAATGATCAGGCATTTCCGAAACGTCAGCTCGTTCAACATCGACTGATTCTGGGTCGCCCGCGGTGTTCCCAGAGCTCCGAGGTCATGATTTTTTCATTACGTCGACCCCTCGAGGTCTCGACCCATTCCCCGGGACAGGTGTTTCATCCTGAGTGATTTTTTGACGGTCCCGAGGCCCGGGAAGGGCCCCTGGAGGCTGGAAATTCGCTGGCCCAACGGGCCAGAGGCGTGCTAAGATCTCCGGTAACTGGTTAACAATTCTCTAGTTCGCGCGCGCGGGGCGGCCCCTGGGGGTCCACGGACGAAAAGTACCCCGGCAAGGTCCTGAGAGAGTCCCGGGAGGAGTCCCCCAGAGCGCTCCAGGAGCGCTCCATGAGCGCACCAACAGGGCTCCGAGACGTCCCCGAGAGCCCCAAGAAAGGCCAAGAGGCCCCCAAGAGGCCCCCAAGATGGTACACGAGGGGTCCGACATGCCACAAGATCGCTCCAAGACGCCCAAGATAGCCCCCAGACGCCCCAAGAGGCCTCCAAGAGCACTCCCAAGAGGGCCCCCGGAGGCAAAATTCATTGTTTTTCCTTAGGTTTTTGAGAGATTTTGGAGCTTCCACCTTTTCGGTTCCCGACGCCCCAAGACGGCCCCAGAGGCCCCCAAGATCGCCCCAAGAGGGCCCAAGAGGCCCCCAAGAGGGCCCCAAGATGGCCCAAGAGGGCTCGAAGACGGCCCAAGAAGCCTCCAAGACGGTCCAAGAGGGCCCCAAGAACACCCCCAAAGGGGCCCCAGAGAGGGAACACGAAACAAAATTTCGAGCCCTCGGCCCTAAGAAGCCCCTACGAGGCCCCAAGAGGCCCCTAAGAGGCCCCAAAAGGCCCCCACGAGGCCCTCAGGAGGCCCCCAAGAGTCCCCCAAGCGGCCCCAGGAGGCCCCCCAAATGCCCCCCCGAGCGCCCCAGGAGTCCCCCAAGCGGCCCCAGGAACCCCCAAAGCGCCGCATTGACACCAGGCCCTCGGGCAAACGGCAGACATGAGACCGTATGGGCCGGCGGAATGAGCGAAGCGATTAAATAATGAAAAACTTCCCGTCGTGATTTTTTCCTTGCTCGAGGGGGGCTGGGCTCCACGTTGAACGCCGGCGGCGGGGTCGCCGCCAGTCGAAACGACGCGAATTCCTGCCAGTAGCCGTTCGGAGGTCCTCGCGGATGGCTTGGGCCGGCGCTGGACCCGCCCTTCCTCTCCCATGGCCCGCTCGAGAGGGCGCCCCAGGGGAGGCGCCGGAGGCGCCACAAGCGGGGGGCCCCAGGAGGCCAAACTCATGGATTTGCCATTGATGTGTGTCAAGGGTTTGGGCGTTCTGGCCGTCTCAGCTCCCCGACGCTCCCAGACGGCCCTAGGAGGCCCCTGAGACCGCCCCAGGGCGGCCTCCTAGAGACCTCCAAAGAGGGCCCAAAAACGGCCACGAGGGCCCCAAGACGTCTCTGGCATGGTATGGGCGCAGCGCATCAGCGCCATCATGGAGGTTCGTGGCACCCAGGCGTCCAACTGGTACCCAGGCGACCCTGTGGATAGACGAAGAAAAAACTGCATTAACTTTCGACGGTCCACGCAGAGAGCCAATAATTGTTATGCTCATAGCGTGTTTCTCCTTCGAATGGACGTCGGGGGTCCGTGTCCCCCGCCGGCCGGCAGGCGGCCTGCTGGCCAGAGACGGCCGTGATCCAGTCGGCGACCTGCCTCTCCAGGCCCACGTCGTACTTGGCCGCCTGCTTGGCCTTGAGCTCCCTGGCGAGGCGGCGGCTACTACGGCAACCTCCTCGTCCCCCTCCTCCCCTGGCGCCTCCCATCCCTCTCCTGTCCTCCGCCCCACTCGCCCTCATCATCCGACCTCTGATGCTCCTCCCCATATGCCGCCACGATTCTCGTTCTCATCGCAATCCGAAGCAGTCGAATCGAAATCCACTTCTCGCCTGCATCCTCGTGCTACTCCTCTTCCTACCCGTCCTCTCTCCTACTGCACATGCCCCCTCGCCTTGCCCTGTGCACCTCGTAGTTTCCTCCCTCTCCCACTCCCTGGCTGGGCTTCTTCGCTTGGACAAGTGAGCAGGAGGAGGAGCGAGGAGCGAGGAGGAGGAGCGAGGAGGGAGGAGGAGCGTGAGCAGCAGGAGGCGAGGGCACCCTGGACCCACGGGAGATCACGTGCAAACAGGGCCCTCGAGGGGGCCTGGCGCTGCAGAGCCTCGTGTGTTCGCTAGCCTCGAGATCCTCGGCCTCGCCATCACCATCTCGCCATCCTCACTCTCGCCCTCCCCCTGCTCGCGGCGATCAATCTGAGGTGTTTGGCCGTTTTCGGCCTCTAGTGGCCATCGCCTGGCCCTGGGATCTTCAAAACAGCGACTCGGGACGAAACACCGGCCCCAGGGAGAGGGTCGGCACTTCCAGGGGGCCCCGCAAAGAGAAAAACAAGATCTCGAAGATCTCCGGGAGCGGCTGGCCCAACGATGTGGAGCGCCCCCTCGCCGTCGCTCGGACGTCCATTCCCCGTGCATTGTTCGGTGTCGTGCGTGTCTTTATCGCGAGATGATCCAGGATGCTCCTGGATCGGGGGAGACGTAAGACTCGGGTTCGGGTGACTCGGGTTGGCCTGACGGGGCCATCATGAAAATGACGAGACCCAAAATGAAATGTTACACGAACTCCCGCTGCAAACATCCCAGGAAAACTGAGCCGTCAAACTCCAGGACGCGCTCGTCAAAAAGCGTCGGCAAGCATGAGCTCTGGCGTGCTCGAGTCTTGCGTCTCCCCGGTGGGCTGGTCCTCGCCGAAAGGACACTGCACGCGTCCGGGCCACACCGAGGCGCTCCGGCCAAGGCCTCGCACGGTGGGGGGCGCGCCTCGCCCTCGGCGGAGGCCGGCGGAAGGCTCGGCGGAAGGCGGAGGCAGCAGGAGCGGCACGTCAACTCAGGGGGGGGGGGTCCAGGGGTTCGCGGGACAGGGGGGGGCAGGGAGGGATCAGCGAGTCCTTCTCCTCTCAGCGCCCCCGGGAGTTGCTGCCTGGGGACTGGCCTTGAGATCCGCTCAGCTCTGCGCTGAAAATGGCTTGTGCCAACATTTTGTGGGGCTGATGCCAACTCAATTTTGGGGGGTCTCAATTTTGGGCTCCAGGGGCTGCAGATTCGGGCACGTGTCCCCCCACTGCGTCCGGCTTGAGGGCAAGCGCCCGCGCACTCTGCAGGGCCCACCCGGCAAAGTGCCAAGCGGCACCAGAAACCATATTGTCCTCGGGAGGGGCTCGCTGCGGGGGCATCGAGACGCATGGTGTCAGGAGCTGCGACACACTTCTCCGACCCTTGGAGCATCCGACAAGAATGGGATTCCAGTATATGGCAAGCCTGGAGAAGGGTCCGGCGCCTGGCCTGGGCAATGGGGCAAGGATGGAACACCTCGTCGAGTGAGATTGCGGATCTCTCGCGCAGCGCATCCTCTGACAGAATCCTCCGCCCTCTCGTCATCCTCCTACTCGTCCTCCTCTTCCTCATTCCTCCTCCTCCTCCTCCTGCTCCTCCTCCTCCTCCTCGGTCGGTCGGTCGATAAGGGTGCAAAGAAGTCGATGCCCGTACTAAAAGTTAAGGCGAGTTAAAAGGGGGCGGACAGTGCAGCAAGGTGGAAGGGGCACAGACTGCAAGCTAGGACAGGATAAGCGAGCCAGACGATCCGCCAGCCCCCGTGGGCTCCGCTTCCTGCAACAAGCAGGCAGGATAGGCTGTCCCATGGAGCAGCGGAAAAGAAGGCAGTACCGTAGTGGGACTGCTGTCCGAAACCATGGCGGTGGGAGCCTGCTGATCCATGGCAAGAATGGCAGCGACGATGGCGGACATGACCACGGCATTGAGAGGGGGGGTCAACAGGGGAGCGTTGCAGCAGGGCCCAACCCCACCCCCGACATCGACGTCGCCAATGTGCTCCAGCCGCTGACGCAGCCCATGGACGTGCACTCCCATAAAGCGAATCTTCGGGACGCCTGGGGCCAAGGAAGCCTCATCAACCTGTTCAACAGACACTCCTGAGCACGGCGTCAAAGGAGCAATGACCCGAGAGGCCCACCCTGAAACGTGTGCCGCCAAGGAAGGAGGAGGGTGGCACCACAAAGCGGGTGTCCCCAACTTCCAAGCAACGTGCAACAACCCCCCGACCAGGAGCAGCGCAGCGTTGTCCAGGCGGACGAGGTCGGCGGCGACCGCACCGAGTGAGGGGCTGCCAAGAGGGTGGTCGGGGGACCTAGTCATGCACGTGTTGCCAGTCTTGTGGGCGGGCCACATCGTGCGCAACGAAGGGGTTAAGAGGAAACCCGCGATCTGACCCCCCTTGCAGTCTTGGCTCAGCTGCGCGAGCTGACTGTCCCACGTGAGGGGGTCCGTCACGACAAGGGCCAAATGGATAGAAAGATTCGTCGCGGCAGCGTTTGTTTGCCAGCACTCCATGAGGTTACACAAGCACTGTCCCTCGGAGCACAGCACAGCAATAAGGCGAGGCTGCAACGGGGCTTGGCAGGGATGACAAGCGGGGGAGGCGACCAAGCAGGAGCAGGGGGGGAAACCACAGGGGTGAGAGGAGCAGATGGCGAAATGTCACCGCGCCACTTGGGGGCCAAAGCAGGCCCAATCACGCGAACTGGGGCCCTGTTCGCAAAGTTGGCGGGCATACCCTTCTTCCTGTTACAGCTCTGGACAAGTCTGGCCGCCTCTCGAGCCTGCTGGAGATCATCAGGAGGGGGGGGCTGTTAACATTAAGAACGGCGAAGAAGCACTGCTTAGCAGCAGCAAAATGCTTAGCAAGGCGGACGGGATTGCCGAAATTATGAAGGCAAATCTGACACGTGTCGCCGACGGCAAAATCATATGGGGTCCTACCCTGCTTGTGCTCTTTGGTCAAGTGAATGCGCATCGCCGTCGCCGTGCGAGCAACATGGCCACAATCTCCGCACACGAACCCCTGTGAGGGAGGCGGAGGAGTGGGAGCAGCAAGAGGAGTGTCATAGACGGCGGTACGCTCCTCCTCCTCCTCCTCCTCCTCCTCCTCCTCCTCCTCCTCCTCCTCCTCCTCCTCCCCCTCCCCCTCCCCCTCATCCTCTTCATCCTCCTCCTGCTGAGTCATCCTCGTCATCATAAGCATCATCATCATCAGCATCATCATCATCATCATCATCATCATCATCATCATCCTCATCATCCTCATCATCATCAGCATCATCATCGTCATGATCATCATCACCATCAGCATCATCATCAGCATCATCATCAGCATCATCATCATCGTCACCTTCGTCGTCGGCATCGTCATCGTCATGATCAACACCATCATCATCATCATCATACTCACCATCCCCGTCACCCCCATCACCACCATCATCATCATCATCAGCATCATCGTCATGGTCATTATCATCATCAGCAGCATCATCACCATCATCATCATCATCATCATCATCATCATCATCAGCAGCATCATCATCATTATCAGCAGCACCATCAGCAGCATCATCAGCTGCGAAACAGCATCAGCTTCATCACCCTCAGAATCAGCATCGTCACCATCATCACCAGCATGATCACCATCTTCGCCGTCATTGTCATCGTCATCAATATGGTCATCATCATCATCATCATCATCATCATCATCATCATCATCATCATCACCATCCTCATTATCATCACCATCAGCATCGTAATCATACCAATCATCATCCTCATCATCTCATCGTCATCCTCATATGCCTCATCCTGATCCTCATCATCAGCTCTACGAGCATCATCATCAGCACCATCATCCTCATCATCAGTCTCATCATCATCAGTATCATCACCTTCGTCGCCATTAGCATCATCAGTATCACCAGCATCATTACCACCATCATCAGTATCATCATCCTCATCATCCTCATCATCATTCTCATCATTACCTTCAACGACACCACCGCCTTCTGATTCTTCTTCAACCTCATCATCATCCTCATCATCATCATCCTTACCCCTCTTCCTCTTCCCTCCTCCTCAACTCCTCGGTAATGTCCTGTCCAGCCCATAGGCGACCTCGTCCGCCATCGCGCCGCCGCGGGCTCGCGCCGGGGGCGGCGGCAACCGAAGGCGGCGCGAGCGAAGAGGGGGAGGAGGGAGGATGGCTGACGCTGCGGGCGGAGTGTCGCCCCCGCAGTCTGCCGAAGAGGAGGAGGGACAGGAGCGAGTAGGAGAGAGAAGAAGGAGGAGGAGGAGGAGGAGGAGGAGGGGGAGGAAGAGGACGAGGAGGGGAAAAACCGACAAAGGACGGGGAGGAAGGAGGAGGAGGGCAGAATGGAAGACGAGGAGGAGAGGGAGCGATGAGCAGGAGGCAGAGGGAGAGGGAGACGAAGCGGATGAAGGAAGGGGGGCGAGGAGGGGAGGGAGGGGAGAGAGGTAGATGGAGGAGGGGGGAGGGAGGAGGGGAGGAGGATAAATATGATCACCGCCAAGGCCGACTAGTTTGTATTTTTCGGGCAGGGAAGATGGGCGCGGACAGCAATAACTCATGCCACTAACCTCGCCAAACGCGCCGTCGACAAAGCAAGCCCCCCGCAGAGATGTCCTGCGAGTGTGGCAGAAAGTCTGGCTACGGAAAACAGGCAAGCAGAACGAGCAAGAGCAAGCTTCGCTGGGAACAAGCATCAAATAGTGGATAGGCCGGTACACCCAACATATGAAGAGGTGACCCGCAAAAGCGGCAACACGCAACGAACTTGTCCCGAATTACGGCTTGCAAGCGTGGAAGGAGGAAAATGGATAATACTAAGAAGAATAATAAGAAGAAGAAAGGAGAGCGGCGAGAAAAAAACGCACAACCTACTGCAACGCATCTGCCCTCGGCCGACGACAATCAGTCGCGGTTATGTTCCCTGGGGGCCGAATCAGTCGCGAAACATAAACATAACATTTCACTGAATAGTCAACCTAGTCGCAGAGATGGATCCGCTGCACGCGTGCAAAGGAGGGAGGAGGAGCAGCAACGGCAGGACGAGGAGGAAGAGGAAGGGGAACCAAACAAAGAGAAATATGTGATGCGACCCGCCACGGCAGGCCAGGCTGCGTGAATTACCACGCTAGCGCAAAACAAGCAGGCAGGGCAGACCGCATGGTATTCAATGAAAACAAGCAAAGGAGAGATGAGGAAGAAGAGGGAGCTAACCACAGCATGGCCAGACAATTGGCAGCGCAGACCAGCGAGCTGAACTAGGCGCGCTCCCGACGGTCACCAGCAGCGCCAGCTACGCGGATGCACTCCGACAAGCCTGGGACCGAGACGACGCCCTCCTTGCAGGCCGGCTCCCATATGTCGGTCACCTGTGCATCCAAACTGTCCCGTGCTCTGTTCATCGTCATGCACGTCGCGTAGACACAGAGGGTCCGACGCGTACACAGCGATGCTCAAGACGCGGCCAAGGCGGATCAAATAACAGGAACTGGTCCAGCCCGTGTGGGTGCGTTGGCGGAGGCAGGACCAGGCGTCAACAGGCCAGCGTGGCGACAGCAGAGCAATACGCATAGTGGTGGATGCTGTCCTGCCCGTGCTGGCACCCGGGTGCGCACCGTCCCGCCTGATATCAGTCAAAGAGGCTCTGCGCGTAGACCAGCCGTCCAATTGAGCTTTGAACACCGCGGCCCAGATGCGAGGTGATGTGGTACTTCTGATGCCCTGAAGCGTGGCCATGGCTCTTCCAACCCTGTGGCTAGGTAGTGTCTGTAGAGGCCAACGTTCTAACAGGCGGCGAAGCGCTGATGGAGAGCGACTGGCGCGCATGCGCCCTGGAGAAGTTGCTGCACGGAATTGCCCACCTGTCTGGCGGTGGCGGCCAGGGAACCCGTAGCCTCGGACAGCTTGCGCAGGCCGCCCAGCTCTGCCACGCCACATGTCGGTCCACTGTGTCAGAAGTGGCCACTGCTAGAGCTAGAGCTCGGGCCCGGCGACTGGAGTGCAGGCCTCCGTTCGCGCTGTCTTCCCACCGGCTCACCCTGCGTTGTGCTGCCAGCGATACAGCTTTGGCATCCGTCATTTCTGAAGGAACACCACGGGTCCCCAGTTGGCCCAACACCGACGGGTTACTTCAGCCTCGAAGCCCAGGGTGGAGGATGCTGCACACTTTGCTATCGATCTCTGCCAACACAGGAGGGAGAGGTCCAGCTGGAGGAGGAAGCCGACGAGCGGGAATATGTACGTCTTGTACGCCTGCGTGGTCACGAGCACGCCGCCGTCGATGCTCCGCCATAGCGAGTTTCGCGCGAGCATCTCGGAGAAAGCCTGCTCCCAATATCGATGACCTTTTGCCGGGTCCCAACGCAAGGCCGAGGTGGTTGGCGTTGTCCGAGATCTTAAAATCACTCCATGAAGGGGCCAGCCTTCCCAAAATCATCCTGGACCACCAGTCCACTCGGCAAGACCATGGCCCAGTCGTCCGCGAAAGCCCACGAGGCATGAGGCAGCAGACGTGCCAACCGGCGGAGCATCACATCCGAGACGACGCAGAGCAGGAGCGGCGAGAGAGGGCAGCCCTGCCGAGCCCCAGCGAAGAGAAGCAGACCCTCGCCCGCTGTGCCACCCCGCTGCCATTGCGCACCCGATCTCCCACGAGGAGGATTGTCACCGTGGCCGCGAACCAGGTTGGCCCGCCACGGCGGCAGGGGGTGCGGCGGATGAAATCATGATCCACGCTCCGGAAAGATGAAATCGTGATCCACGCTCGGGAAGGCCGCCTCGAAGTCGGGGAGAAAAAAAAGCGGCTGGATCGGTCTCGGTGCATGCCGCCTAGATCATGCTTTCTCCGCCGCGGGAGCAGGCTGTGCTGGTGCACGGTGTATGCCGACCAGTCTATGCTGGGCACCGCGGGAGCAGGGTTCCGACCGCCTCTGCGGCCCCCAAGGGCCCCCGCAGCTGCACACTGGCCGGAGGCGGCGCCTCTGACCCCCCACATCGGCGGACGCGCGGCTGGGCGGGGCACCGAAACAAAAAAACGCGAAGCGGCGACCGAGGAGCGGCCACCGCGTCGGACGAAGGCAGCAGGCGCACGAAGAGCCCGGTCCTTCCAGGGAGGTACTCGATGTACACTCGTCGGCGAGCGAGGGGGGAAGAGAGAAGGAAAGGGCCTTCCCGGAAGTCGACGGGGCTTCTCAGGAGGCCTCCAGGCTTCTGAGAAGTTCTCTGTCTTCGGGGAAGGCTCGGAAAACTTCTCAGGAGGCCCGGGGACGTCCGAGCATTCCGAGAAGGCCTTATCATTCTCGCTTCCCCCCCCTCGCTCGCCGCCGCCCTGACAAAAGCAGCAGGCGCGCGGAGGTCCCGGTCCTTCAGGGAAAGGCTCGATGTATCCACCACGTCGTCTGGTCGGCCAAAGGCCTCGGTGTACAGTCGCTCCAGCTGCGAAGTCCGTGGGACGCTGGAGGGTCCGCGCACTGCCAGTGCACCAGATTCCTTCGCAGAGCTCCTCGGCTCCCTGATCGACCAAACGACGTGGTGTATAAATCGAGCCCATCCGACTTCGAACAAAACACCTCAAAGGGCTGCTTGGGGGGTTACCACACGGTGGTGGCAGCAAGCTAAGCAACAAACAGGGCGATGGGAGGAGTACCCGCCAGTCGGAAGAAGCACGTGGAAACGTGAATAAGAAGGCTGAAAATTAGATTCGGCTCGGGCCCGTCCATACAGTAACACAAAACAGCAAAACAGGGTCGATCATTGGAGTAAGAAGGCGCTTGAGGTAGATTTGGATGTGGGAATGCAGAAATACTTACGTTGAACGACAGGCGTTTAGATCCCTTCACGAGCAAAAATTCGAGGGCAAGTCTGGCGCCAGCAGACCGAAGACTGCCGAGTTCGGCGGAGCGCGGCAGAGGCGCTCGAGGACAAGAACACCTCTTTTTCCTTCTATTTTTTCTACGCCCACACGGCGGCCCAACGACCTGAGTACGTACGGCTATACCACGCCACTAGAAACGAACTCGTGCGTGCGTACCCCTTTCTGGTGAAGACGGCGGGACTCGCACAGGTGCCCAACGCGAGTGGAGGACGGCAGAAGCCGGGGAAGGGAGGAGGAAGAGGAGGAGGGGGAGGAGGGATGCGCAAGTACAAACTCGCAGAAAACCTCGGTGCCGAAGCAGAGGAGCCAATGCCAAGAGCGGCAGGCGTACAATACAGCAAACTGGAAAAACCCGCGCATGATAATGAACTACCTTGAAATATGAGTGCAACCTCATGCCCGCCACCCTGAGGCACGCAACCATGCCGGCCAGGGGCCAGCAGGACATGCAAAGCCAGAAGGGGCCCAGCGACCGGCGAGCTCCACTGCCGAAGCTCGGCAGACGGCGGGCGCCGCTGTCCCTGCAGCTGACGACCTGCGTGCGGGGCGGGCCAGCGGGAGGTCGACCCCAGCCGCGCCAATGAAACAAAACACAAAACATGCCGAGCAGGAACCATGCATCGCTGAGTAGGGCGGAGGAGGAGGAGGAGGAGGAGGAGGAGGAGGAGGAGGCGGAGGCGGTTCGCTGCGACCGCGCGTTGGCGCCACGGGCCCGCCAGAAACGCCGTGCGCAATGCAGCCGAGATGGCCCAAACTGGGATCGGCACAACCAAACCTGACCATGCACACCCTTCCCACCAAAAAGCCCGCACGGTGGACGACCCGGGAGAGCACCAGCAGCAGGGGGCAGAGGAAGGAACGACATCCGGGACCAGGACGAGCCCGAAGCCGGGGGAAAGAGGAGAGCGAGCGACAGGGGACGACCGCCGAGAGGAGGGAGGAGGGCGAAGCCCGGGCGACCGCCCGAGAGACGAGCAGGAGGGAGAGCAGGCAGAGGAGCGACAAAGGGCGGCGGCGGAGGGGGGGCGACGACACCACCTGGCGAACGGGCGGGCGATTGGGCGATTGCACGCTATGGCCGGGCGCTCTGGGCCTCCATTGCCACGCGCCCGAATGCACTCACGGAGCATTAGCGTGGCACCTCGACTCGGGGGGGAGGAGGGAAGGGCAGGGAGGGGGGAGAGGAGGGCGGCAGCGCGCACAAGCCGGGCGCAGGGGGCCTTCTCA